AGGGCAATAAAGTGAGACTCTGTCTCAAGAAAAAAAATATGAGACTCTGTCTAAAGTTGAGCCCAGTTTTTGAGGAAGGATGAGGCACCTAGCAGGGACCTGGGCAAGTCCTGCAGCATGTTTGGGGGCTGATTATTTATGCTATAGTGACACATCACTCCCATGAAAGAAGCCTACCAAAAGGAAGGTATTAGGCTAGTTTCTTATTGCATATATGTTAAGAGGTTCTTGTCAGTATGTCCTTTTTGTTCCTATAATATTCTTTTTCGTGGCTCAAATGAATTACTTTTAGAACTTTTGTAATAATTCTAAGCCTGAATCTTAAGCCAGATAAGAGACTATTTTTAAGGGGGAAGGGACATCTGAGGCCTGGAAACTGTCTCTGAGAGTGGCCTGATGGTGCAAGGGGGGTGCTGGATGGCCCTGAGGGCTATGCATTCCTACCTCTGTCTGGAGGCAGGGAGCTTCTGCTCATTTAACCTGGAGTGGCTAAGCCAGGTGGCCTTAAGGAGAGTAGAAGGTAGCCACCACTGGGTGAGTCTACTTGGGTTTAGGTATTGGGGCTAGAAGTAGAAGATAGGGGACAAGCAGATCTCTTGAGGTCTCTCCTCAGGTATGCTTGACAGGGACCAAGATGCACTCTGAAGCCAGGGGAGGAGGACTTATTCCCTAGGTTTACATTTATATGCTGTGTGACTTTACAAAAATTGCTTTATATCACTGTGCCTCAGTTCCTTATCTGAAAAATGGAGATGATAAAAGCTCCTACCCTGAAGAGTTGTTTAGCTGCCAGGAGAAGCCCGGGAAGCAGAGTATGTCAAGAATCATCAGAGTGGGCTGGGTGCAGTGGCTCACGCCTTAATCCTAGCACTCTGGGGGGTGGGGGGCAAGGTGAGAGCATCTCTTGAGCTTGGGAATTTGAGACCAGCCTAGGCAAGAGCAAGACCCTGTCTCTACTAAAAATAGAAAAACTATCCAGGCATTATGGAGGGTGCCTGTAGTCCCAGCTACTCAGAAGGGTGAAGGGCAGAATTGCTTGAGCCCAAGAATTTGAGTTTACTCTGAGCTAGGCTGACACCATAGCACTCTAGCCTGGGCAACAGAGTACAGAGTGAGATTCTGCCTCAAAAAAAAAAAAAAAAAGAAAGAAAATAACCATCAGTGACCCTCCAGAGCCTAGTCCTGGGAAGTCCTGGTATTATCCCTCAAGTCTGGTCTCTACTTTCTAGTTATAGAGAAGACTTAGTAATCAGCTGTCAGGGTGTCTTAGGGGTTGGGGGAGAATGAACTATTAGATTCCTCTAAGGTCCGGACAGAGGGGTCTTATTATGGAAGAGTTAGGACCTCAGAATGAAAGCGTTCTGGAAGATGGGCCATCTTTGCTCACCACCTTGCCCAGACAGACCTACCCAGAAGCTAGAGCCCTGGGCTCCCCAACTCTTACTTCAATTTCCCTTTACCCTGCCCACAAGTCAGAGGCCTGTGGACCCTGTGTCAGTCAGGGCAGTTTCCCTCATTGGCACCTAGTATCTGACCTGGAGGCTACACTTCCTAAGAGACTTCCTGAGGATCAGACCTGCTACTCTGTACAGAGCAAGGCAAGAGGTAGTATGGGTTGCTTGAAAGGTCAGTTCTCATTTGCCCTTGAATTAAAAAAAAAAGTCTAGGTGGCTGGGGTGTGGACTCAGGACCATAGAGATGTTTGCCTATGAAGTGCGCTCCTCTCCCTCCAGGGCCAGCATGGCCTTGTCTCCAGACTGTCGAGCACAGGCACTGTGTGGCAAGAGAATTGCCAGGCAGATGAACATAAGGCAAATGAATTACAAGCAGCCTGCGGGGCTGCCCTGCTGGGGGTTGGGCCGCCAGCATGGCCCAGGCTCCTCTGAACACTGAGACAGCATGCATTTACTGAGCCTTACTGTGCTCTTGGCACTGGTTTGGGGATGTACTCACCCTTCATTGTTCTGATCTGATGGGAAAAGGTCACATATACTATGAGCAAGGCCACATTTTATGGCCTAAAACTAGTCTTTGTCAGGGATGCCCCACCCATGCACCTCATACTGTCCCAGATGCTTTTTTCTCCTCTACCTGTAGGACCCGGTGCAGCCAGAGAAAGCATGGTTGTACTGTCACGGACTATCCTGGCTTCTCTTGGCTATGGCCTGGGCAGACTCCTTGCATGTGGCTGCCAGCCTTCCCGCCTATCAGCCCCAACAGCCCAGAGTATGTCTAATCTTTGCCGTTTGCCGTTACACTTACTGTAACTAGAGAAACTACTTCCTTCCCTAGTAGAAGGAAAGCACACCAGCAAATCTGAGAACAAGATTTCCAGGTTTCACTTTATCATGAAGGATAATGAAAGTGAGGCCCCATTCTTCATTGGAATTAGGATTATTAAGAAAAATACATGGAGTAGAGAATGCCAGGCAACATTCTTATGTAAAGAAAACCAAAAGTCATCCTCTTCTCCCTAACACTCTTCCAGTTCAAACAGAGGGTTGGTGGGATCAAAAGTGGCTGGAAAGTACCTAGTGGACTTATGCCTGATGGTGGACACCACCTGGCTCCTTGGCAGAGTAGGCAGAAAGGACAGGGGAAACATGTCCTACCGGACTTGTCTAGGTAGAAGAGAAACTGGAGAGTGGCAGGGAGGGGAGATGCAGGATTGAGGGGTGGTGGACTATTTAAAAGCCTCTTTGTCTATAACATGCTGTGAAGTGCTCCCTCAAAGCTCAAAAGGAAGGGCCCCCACCTGAGCTGGCACCCTTTGTTCAGGGGCTGACTGAAATAGTTGATTCTTTCTGTTCAGAGAATTTCATGTTGACAGATATAATGGGCACATCCCTACAAGTTCGGGTCCCCCATGGAACTGGCCCAGCACATCATCCAATTTTCTGAGCACCCTATTTCCATAGAAAGTGGGTTTCTATGAAAAGTTCTTTTAGAAGTAAAGGCAGAAGAATGAAAGCAGCAGGCTCAGCTCCCCCACTTTCCAATGGCCTTTAATTCATGGCCATTGGAAAAAGTCTGGATGAAGAATGATTTTGGCTCTATGTGAGTTTCACAGCAGCCAGTGGAAACTTCCAGGAATGCTGCCCCAGGCCAGCCAGGGGCTGTTTCCACCGCCACTTTTACGAGATGCAGACCCCTTCCCTGGCTGGCTGGCTAGCACGGGGGGTATGTGATAGTCTCTCCCAGCTCAGCTTCTGTGCAGCTCATGTTCCATGGGCAGCAGTTTTTCCAGGCTCTGTCCTGTGACCCAGGATTCAGAGCCCTCGCAGCTCCCGCCAGCTCATTTAGAAGGGGCCAGCCACCAGACAGAGCACCCTTCATGGCAGCTGACATCCATGTGGGATGCTATGAGAATTTATAGCAACCTTAGAGGGGAAACTTCCTCCCAAAATGTTTCAATATTTTATTAAATGTATGAAAGCAAAGTTTCCTTTCCATTGGATCCAGGCCCAAAGCCTTCTTGAAGCCCTGGGGAGAGGGGCAGAACCACTGGGGAAAGTCTACAGGTGAAATTAATCTGATTCTTCTGATGCTTGTGGGCTACACAGTGCATGAATCAAACCTGCTGTGCTCACAGTGGACTCCTGCAGGGGCTGGTGTGGGCCTGGCTTTCCCTCAGTGAAAGAAGTAAAGTGATGGGCAGAACCGTTATGGCCTATGTGAGCCAGCCCCTCAATGGGGAGTACAGGGGGCTTTCAGACACTACTGCCTCTCTGCTGACACTCAGTCCAAAGCCAGAGGAGGTGGGCAGGTTTTTGCAGCCTGTCTTTGAGCCATCTCTGTGAGACTAGCCCTTGAAACATACATAGTACTGGCAGCTGGGGACATTTAGGGGGACCATTTAGGTCCACAGGTGAGCCACTGCACTAGGTATATAAAACCAGGGGAACAAGGACTCAACCTCAAGAAGGCAACATGACAGGCATAGTCTAGTGGCCAAAGTGCTGACCTCACTAAGTTACCCATATTACGAGCTTGGTGTTCTCTTTCCCACTCACAGAGGGGGAAATGGGCTCAGAGTTGTGTTGTCATTTGTCTGTGATTGCCCCAAGCCTAAGCCCTAGATGGCTCATCCTACAGTAGTCCTCATCCGACTTGGTCCAGCAGAGACAGACCTTCCTGGGCTCAGGTGACTCCCCTGCTAGCCTAGCAGGCCCTTCCAGGTGTGGAGTGCATGCCTCCATTTGTTGGTGAAATTTTCTCACCTCTGGAATGGACATGGTTGATGGTCTCCAGCAGTTTACAGCCCAAACAAGGAAGCTGAGATTGCTCCAGCACTTCAGTTAAATATCATACCACCAGAGCTGGTGATTCCTGACCAAGAACGGGGGACCTGCTGTCTGTTTTCCCTCACTGTGTCTTCCCCCTACCCACAAACATCAGAGATCCAGAGCCAGGAGGAGGAATCGATATAAAGAGGAGGAATGGATATGAAGGCAAAGGCTGTCCTAACAGCCACCAGAGACAAGGAGCCAGGCAAACCCCTAGGCAGGAAGAGCTGGCCCCTAACATTTGGGCAGTGGGCTGAGGCAACTGAGTAGGGACTGGGCAAGGAGGTCTGTAGGGCAGCCTGGTGGCCCCTTCATCCTCTGAGCCTGACCATTTGTTTTGCAGACAGTCTCTATCCTGGAGCAGCGGTTGACACTGACAGAAGACAAGCTGAAGCAGTGTCTGGAAAACCAGCAGCTAATCATGCAGAGAACAACACCATGATCGGGGGAACAAGAATCAGGAGCTCGGTCGATTTTGCGGGGGGTGGTAGTAGGCCAGGGATTTGTACTGTGGATTTGGGTAAAAAAATAAAGGGGATTCAACGTTATTCAACTGTGAGAATCACATCCATACCAGACCCCCCCACCGCCCGATATTAGAGTTCTGAGGAGGTTCTGCCCTCCACCTTGCTGTTTGCATCAAGAGGCTCCACCTGGCAACCAGACATCCCCAGCAGACAGGGCCCACTCCAAAAGGATGCTTAAGACCTGACTGCCAGGACCACATTTCGTTTATTTATTTATTTGCAGTTTGGGCTGGGGCGGGGTTTGAACCCCCCACCCCCAGTATATGGGGCCAGTGCCCTACTCTTTGAGCCATAGGCACCACCCAGGACCACATTTCATTTAATGTAAAGGGGCCACTTGATAATATTTGCTGCCTTGGAATCCTAAGATTGCAGCTCCCCCTCTGAAGAGAGTGGTCCCAAGATGCTTTGTCTTTTGCTCACCATTCAGACATGTGACTGGCTTTTCCCACCCCTGCTATGGCTTAGGAATTGACTACTTGTTGGTTGGATGAGCTGGGAGTTTTCTCTAAATCTGACCAAAGGCCCAAAGTGGGTGCATCTGAGTCAGGTTTGTCCAAAAAATAAGCCCTCTGGAGTGGGTGGTGACTTTAGTGGTCTTAGTTTTCATTCCATACATGTTCACTGGGACCTGGTAGCTTCCTTCTTCCTGCATGTGTGAGGGCAAAGGAACTGAAAATTAAAACTGACTTTATTGCACTTGTTGCAGAAATGGTTTGTTCTGGGTGATTCCTAATCAGTCCTCTTGTCCTCAGGGTCCATAAAGGGAGAATGAAAATGGTGACCTGGGGGGCGACACCTGTGGCTCAGTGGGTAGGGCGCTGGCCCCATATATCAAGGGTGGCGGGTTTTTTTTTTTTTTTTTTGAGACAGTGCCTCAAGCTGTCCCCCTGGGCAGAGTGCCATGGCATTACAGCTCACAGCAACCTCCAACTCCTGGGCTCAAGCGAGTCTCCTGCCTCCGCCTCCCAAGTAGCTGGGACCACAGGCGCCCGCCACAACGCCCGGCTATTTTTTTTTTTTTTTTTTTTGGTTGCAGCCATCATTGTTGTTTGGCGGGTCCGGGCTGGGGATTCGAACCCGCCACCTTAGGTGTACGTGGCTGGCGCCTTAGCCGGTTGAGCTATAGGCGCCGAGCCAGGGTGGCGGGTTTGAACCCAGCCCCAGCCAGCTAAAATAGCAGTGGCAACTGCAACAAAAAATAGCTGGGTATTGCAGTGCATGCCTGTAGTCCCAGCTACTCGGGAAGCTGAGGCAAGATAATTGCTTAAGCCCAAGAATTCGAGGTTGCTGTGAGCTGTGACACCATGGCACTCTACTGAGGGCCACAAAGTGAGACTCTTCTCTCAAAAAAAAAAAAAGAAAGAAAGAAAGAAAGAAAATGGTGACCTAGGGTGGCACCATAGGTCATTTGGCATGTCACTGGCCATATACACCAAGGGTAGCAGGTTCAAACCCAGCCTGGGCCAGCTAAAGCAACAATGACAACTACAACAACAATAGCAGGGCATAGTGGCAAGCGCCTGTATTCCCAGCTACTTTTGTGGCTAAGGCAAGGGAATCGCTTAAGCCCAAGAGTTTGAGATTGCTATGAACTATGACGACATGGCACTCTACCCAGGGTGAGAGCTTGAGACTATCTCAGAAAGAAAAAAGAAAGAAAATGGTGACGTGGGAGGCTCCTGCCAAGATCCCCTCTGAGCCCAGGACACCTTTGTTTATAGCTACTCAGGGTGTTGGGGGAGCAAGGACGACCAGAGCCTCCACCTACCACCCACCTCCATCTGGCTGGCCCCTGAAGGCTGCTTCTGTTGGGACTCACAGGCCTCAGACACGCATGTTTCCATTTGCTCATGAGGGTCTCCATAGGCTCCTTTGCATCTGTGCTGCAGAAGCCATATTTTCCATATGTCTGCATGTCCTCCAACACCTTCAGTCTTTGGCTTCTTGGGGCACAGCCAGCTGGGGGAGGGGTCTTTACACTTGCCCTGCCCTGAGGGATGGGGGGTGATGTTAGACCTTCCCAGGAGCTCTCTGTACCATAGGTTAATGGATTCTCAGTCTCTGTGGCTTCTAGAGGAAGGCCACAGGTAGGAGCAAAGTCTGAATGCCTAAATGCTTAGACTGATAAGGGGCAGCTAACCATGTCAGTTCTGATGAACAAGAATGAAAAAGCTGTCTCTTCCAGCCTGCATTGGCCTGAGGCTCTTGTCACCACCTTTGTAACCTCAACATGGTGACCGAACCTCTCTCTATCTCAGGTTCTTGTGAAGTAGGGGTGATATCCATTCCTTCTGGTAATTACAAGGTAGTGCTTTACTACACCTTGCTGATCCAAACAGGAAGATAGGGTTCCTAGCTGCCTGGAGAGGTAGTGAGCTCCCTATCTCTGGAGGCTTTGTTTTTTTAAAGATAAGGTCTCACTGGAGTACAGAGGTACAATCATAGCTCACTGCAGCCTCAAACTCTAAGGCTCAAGAGATCCTCCTGCCTCAGCCTCCTAAGTAGCTAAGACCAGTGCATGCCACCATGGCTGGCTAATTTTTTATTTTTATTTTTTATTTATTTATGTATTTATTTATTTTTGAGACAGAGTCTCATTCTGCAGCCCTGGGTAGAGTGCCAAGGTATCATAGCTCACAGCAACCTCAAACTCTTGGGCTTGAGCCATCTTCTTGCCTCAGCCTCCCCAATAGCTGGGACTATAGGCACCCACCACAATGCCTAGCTAGTTTTTCTATTTTTAGTAGACATGGGGTTTTGCTCTTGCTCAGGCTGGTCTCAAATTCT